TTTTTTTTAGTATACTGTCTTCCCGTGCAAATGATTATTTCTTTATACTCCCTACATTCCCTGCTTGATTTGTCCATCATAATAATTGGGCTCACATTTGTAATAATGTTTCCATTCATATTATTAATTATTCAGGTAAATCAGATTATTTTTACGAAAAAGGTTTTTATTTTCATTAATTGTGACAATTACAAATTATAATTATAGACATTTAGAGATATTCACAAACGTCTCATGGCTGCAACTGATAAACGTGTGGGTGTGTTAGACGAGGTAAATTAAACAATAATTTAGTATCAAAAATATTTGTTTATTTTGTAAAAGTTACGAGCTGTTTTTTTATCAACAGTTACTTACAATTATTCGCACCGTCAAAATTTATGCGATGGAAGATGATTTTCGTAACAAAGTTGTTGTCGCTCGTGATAATGAGTTAAATGAACTCAACAATTATATGTTTACGAGAATGTATATACGAATACTGTGGGAAATAAGCACATTTTTGATGATGTTATTCTCATTCTTTTTGTACACCAAAATCTTGGGAAACGTTAGTATTGTATTTCTATCGTCGCTTAATATTTTTGTTTGTATGAATTTTATAAAAATTTAACAGAAAGCCAAAATAGGAATTGACTTCCAGTATCGATTTTACTGCTATTATTTTGTTTAAAAATCTTCTTCATATCCTTAATGAAGCACCATCAATCATTATTAGTATTACCCAAGGTAAGTGTTTAAAATAAAACACAACATTCTAAACCATACAAACAATTGATTGTTTTATTATTTTTACAGCTTTAGTTTCAATATCTCGAATCGAAGAATTTTTAAAAGAATCCGAAATTGACAGCAAAATTACTGAAAATAACAGTGTCATTTTGGATAACAATAATTGTATTGGGTTTGATAATGCCACTATACAATGGACAAATAATAAGGGTCCAAATAAATTCGCATTGAATAATTTGAATATCCGTTTTCTTCCCGGAAAGTTATCAATTATCTTTGGTCCTTCTGGATGTGGAAAAAGTTGTTTGTTGAAGGCGCTATTGGCGTTAGATGTCAAGTGTTCTGAGGGCCATGTATTCTCACCAAAGAAGGGTAGAATTGCATACGTGGCCCAAACAGGTAATTTTTATTTTTTATATCTATATATTATAGGCAAAATTTTTCCACATAAGAAAACAAAAATTCTGAATTAGAGATGAGCAATTTACAAAAAAAAAGATTATTATAATTTCTCATCTCTATTGCAGAATATTTTTTTGGAGCGGAGAGTACTAGCAATCTATCACATCTGTACAGTCAATACTGTCTAATTGCATGCTATCCGTCAAAAATTTTTATGCATATATACAGTATATGCACTTAAATTATAAGAACTATTTTTGTTAATGATTAAGAGCCAA